TTAAGATTTGTTTTCCTAATTTTTTTCAATTTTATTCAGTTTATTCCCGCGGTTCTAATATTTTTTTGTTTATTTTTATTGTTATTGTTGTTTTAATATTTTGTATTTTAATTAATGTTAATCATATTTTCAACGTCAACTTTATTTTTAATTTAAATATATTATTTATTTTATTTAATAGTTAATTATATATTATAATTATTACTAACGTGACATAACGGGTCCCATTAAAGTTAAAAGTGATAGTTAAATAATGAGTTGCTTGTAAGAAACCACCATTTGAGTGAATTTGTAAAAATTTAAAGAGAGTTGATGTGATACTATAAGTCTCATTTAAGAACCCTGTTAGACAAATGACATCTAGAGGGGGTGAATAGATGCACAAATTAAAATAAGTGTCAAATTAAAAATTTATTTGTGAGTCAATAATTTGTTTGAACATAGATAAAGCGGAACCGATAATATAATCAGGAAAAGAGAAAGAGATAAGGAAAAGAGAAGATCACACAGAGTTTTATACTAGTTCGGGTATAGTCAACCCTACATTCAGTTCCCAGTCAACTCTTAACACAAGAGTGACTCCCTATTCACTATCTTTCAAATTCAGTTTACAAATTACAATCAACTAAGTAGAAGAACCAGTAAAAAGTAAACTAATTAAAAAGACAATCACCTCCTTAGAAACCCACTAAGGATGAACACTTCCCTAAAATCCCACTAGGGATGAACACCTCATCCGAACAAATCAAAGAATGAAAAAACACCTCCTTAGAATCCCACTAAGGATGAACACCTCCCTAGAATCCCACTAGGTATGAACACCTCCTCTGAACAAATCAAATGATGAAAAACACCTCCTTAGAATCTCACTAAGGATGAACACCTCCCTAGAATCACACTAGGAATGAAAAACACCTCCTTTTCCACCAATACAAAAAGGATAAAGGTAATAAAAATAAGAACAGACACACTTGGGTAATGGAGACAACAAATTGTAGAAGCTTGTAGAATGTCAATCTCCAAGAACAAGTGTGATTAACAATGAAAGCACAGAAGACAGTAGAGAAGAAGGTTTTCTCAAAAGGTGTAAAATATCTCTGTTGTCTTGCTCATAATTATTTTCTCAAAATTGGTTGAATGTAAATTGTATTTTCAAATTCTGTAATTGTGTGTTTTTTATTTTTCATCAAAACTTAATTAAATAGAAAAATAGCATCAGAAAATGGCCGTTGGACATTAATAATATCATAGAGAAAGTCAGGAAGTATTCAAAAACATTTATTCTTTAAAATAGATATATTTTTCAAATTTGAATTGCCATAATTGATTATATTACCAGTATAATCAATTATGACAGAGAAAATCATTTTTCCATTTCTGATGCATCATAATTGATTATGACAGTGAAAAATATCATGTTATGAATTTTATCACACTTGTGTTTTGAAGGGTTATGCATAATATTACTTCATCAACTTGTACCTCCATATCCAGTATTCTAAGACTCTATCTAGTTTTCAGGAATCATCTTGGGCTTGCTTGAATCTTCATCTTTATAAAAAACATATCTTGGGCATGTAGGGAAATGTTTCACATTTTCACCAACGTCATAAATTCAGCTTGTCTTTAATTCATCTTGAATAGTGTTAATTCATCTTGAATAGTGTTGACTTGAGTGTAGTTGACTTGAATCATCATCAAAATCATCTCTTGAGAATGTAGGGATATTTCCATCAATCTCCCCCGCATTGCTTTGAAACCCAAAATGAGTTGATGCTCTAACTAAAAAAAAAATAACTCTCTTTACCATGTTCCTATATTACCAACATTGTTCATCATCTAAGCAAATTATTTTCTTCAAAGCATGTCCAAATTTTTAATGTCTAATTATGAGAAACAATGTTATTAATTGAATTATATTTTATAATACAAAAATCACAAAATAAATTTTATTTTTCCATTTTATGGGTATAAATATATATTTTTTAATTATTTGATTTAAACATATTTTAATTTCTTTTGCAAATACTAGACGTTTTTAGGGTTGAAGATGCTGAAATAATAACCTGTACTTTTACAATTACTTGGGTCTCGTGGGTCTGGGCTCAAAACATATAAACTCAACTAATGGATCTTATGATTATTTTCTGGTTTGAGTCTTCAGAAACAAGTCACACAGTCATCACCTTGTATTGATTAAAAAAAGAATTATTAAATAAATGTTTAAAAATAATAACAAATTTCTTATTTATTATTATCTTAGTACAATCTTCTTAAAAAACAAGATAAGATGATACACTGCAATTAAAAACATAAGAAACAAAAAGCACAAAATATTCAATTAGAAATTATCCATTCTCATATCTCATCTCTTATTGGCTGTTCATGATGGTAATTATGCCTCAAAATTGTATCTCTGATTAGACATTAAGCATCATTATTACTCAATTTTATTTTATAATTTTTTTGGTTTGGTCTTTTAATATGCCTGGAGTCACTTTCATTTTGAATGGGATTAGGAAAGCTATCAATTTTTGCTCTATTTTCTTCCACTCCTCAATCTCCGCAAGGTGCTGCACAACGTGGCAATCCCAATTTAAAAACAAAAAAAATCCCCCATTTTCAGCAACATATATTAATATATGGTAAAACAAGACCAAAATAAAATAAAATTGTCATCATAAATAATGGTTCTACACCAATTAAAATATTCACTTTCAAAATTCGCTCTTGCGGATCTGAGGGACAGAGAACAACTCAAAAAATTGTTTCTTTTTCTTTGTTGCCTATAACTATTAGTTGTTACATTATAATATTCCATGGCCCCTTGGTTTCAAAGAGAGAGAAAAGGAAAAAGTCAATTATTTTGTTAGGGATTATGTCATTATACTTTACCATTTAGGTCGACTCTCGTCCATACAAAGACGCAATCAAAGATTGAAAATTGAAAAAAGAAAAAAAAAAAAAAAAACTTTTCCAACATTACAAGCAACTTAGCAAAATTTGCATCTATGTACCCTATTTGTTTATATGTTGAACTTCAAGACCTTTTCAACCATGGTTTTATTACTCAACATTCTAAGAAGGTACCCCATTTATGGATTATTGCCTAGATTTAGTCTAGGTTTTGTGCAATTTATAGAAGAAATCTGAAGATTGGTGATGTTATAAATTAGACCCTTTTTTCATTAAAATTTTCACCTGTTACATTAATTTGAAGGTTACCTATGCTATATACTTTGAGGTTCAACCATGCAAATATAATATACAAACAACCTGTTAATTATCCATTCTATCATAAAGTGACAACACATATTTTTAAAGAACTTGGCATGTTTCGTGTGGCCTCACAAACGGGAAACTGGTTTGAAATTCAAATGGCGAACAGGGCCAAAGAGAAAAAAAAAAAAAAGTTAAAAAGAAAACAAAAAGGAAGGTGAGGACAACAATAATTAAAAGGGGAAGAAAGGAAAGGAGGGAAAAGAGGGTAATGATTCATTCTACATGGCATGGTGAGTGGTGAGTGTGGTGAGAGTGATAACCTGGAAAAGAAAGGAGTGGGTGGAGACTCAGTTTCATAGAATTGAGAAACAACATTATGATCAATGGTGGGTCTCTCACCTATTCATTTCATCAACCTCTAATCAAAAGTAGGTTACACCAGTAAAAAACTTCAATTTACTCTTAAGACTCAACATGTGCATGTGGTCCTACTCATTAATTTTATCATTAATCTTTGCTTCTATCTCAATTATCTCTCTCTCTCTCTCTTTCTCTCACTTTTCTTTATAATCACAATTCTATCATATTCTCCAAAACATACCATTCTATAATCGGCTTGTGAGTTATCCATATCTGAAAATTTGAACGAAAAACAAAAAATTCTATCTTTGACATGCCCACTTCTTCAAGATGTTTCTTTGCGCCACATTTGCTTATGAAAGCATTTTGTCCCTATCGGCAACTAACTATATATTAATTCATTGGACTTTTTATAATGGTGTAGTTATTTTGAATGTTGCTTGTTTCTGAAGTTTACAATAAAACAAACATAAAAATTCAAAGAAAAAGAATATTCGAAGCATAAGGAAGATTATTTTGGCGGCTCAAAATTCAACCCAGGTTAACTATCAGTTTTTTTCATCTGGTCTAACAAAAAAAATATTAATGTTATTCACTAATACTCTATCATTCAATTTCAGACCTCAACATTATCAACTTTTACCATAGATGCATTCATAATCACTAGAAAAAAAAATAGTATTTTTTCGTTCAAAGTTGTTAACTTCGAACTTTTTCTTCCAGTGAGATGTTTTCAATTGGCTAACCTTGAATTGAAAGAACTTTATGATAATAGTAGTAATGCTTTTTTTTTGTCAAAATTATAAAAAAATAGTCTTGTGAATAAAAATATCAAAATTAATATGATAAAATATTTTACTGGCGTACTCATTTAATATTTTCATGAAAATGAATGAACTGCCAACGAAAAAAGAGAGGGAAAACACGTTCTGGTGATGAAAAGTAACAAAAATGGCTAAAGAAGGGGGAAAAAGAAGAAAGAAAAAAAGCAAAACCAACGGTCCCATGCCATGTTGACTTCTCACCATAAAAGAAACAAATAAAAAATAAAAATAAAAATGTCACATGACGTGGGCACTGCGCGATGATTACAAGTGTCAAATCGAACAAAGCACAACGTGTCTGGCCCCACCAAACAACAACCTTTCTCTCTCTTCATCTTTTGAGAGTTGGTAAGACATAGACACCCATGGTTTGGCTTATGTTTTACACAGAAAACAGAGAGAGAATCTTCCATGTTTCTAACGCTTTCTTCTCTCTCTTCTTGCAACCATTACCAGAGCATGCACATCATAAACCATGAGTTTTATTACGCTTTTATCCCTTCCATGTTTCTTAATTCACGTGTCACTGCCCTACTCAGACATCATCATAATCAACAACAGCAATAAGGTTTCTGAGTTGGTTGTATCGTGCCCATGGCTGTGTCCAACGGCGTCGAAGCAGTGTTAGAGTTTCTACGGAAGAATGGCTTGTCGGAAGCGGAGTCCGCGCTCCGAGAAGACATCATCGAGAACACCGACCTCGGAAACTTCGACTACGAGAAGTTCTTCTTCCCTATGGTCCCGCCGCCGCCGCCGGTCAGAGTCCGATCCTTCTCCCGGCCGTCCGAGCTCGCCGCCTCGGACGACGACTGCTCCAAATCCAGCTGCGACGAGTTCGTCACCATCGGTTCTTCCACTTCTCGTGTCTCTTCTTCAGGTACTCCAAATTCAAATTCATATCAGGTTTAGTGCTTATGCTCAATTGCATGTGTTGATAAGTGTTATTGATTAGTGATCAGTGATTGATCACCCTCTGTTCGATGTAACGGAGACCTTAACAGTTAGTTAGTGTTTGATGTTTTTCTACTCTGTGCTGCTACTGCTACCATTGAATTGGATTCTTCTTTTTCAGTTTTTTACACTTTTGGGTTGTCAATTTGTAAATTAGGATCGTGTAATTGATCATCCATGTTTGATTCCGCGCGTTTGGTTTTGTTGATCACACAGCTCAATTGCATGCTATATTAATTCAACATTCAGGATGTCTGGTGATTATTCTGCACAAAAAAACCAAAAAACAATTACGTTTTAGGGGATGCAGTGTAGTAGTGGTTTCGTACCGGAGAAAAATGATAGTATTTAATTTTTGTTTGAAATATATGATTTAGTAATTCGTGAAATATTAATTTAGATGAGTGGTGCCATTCACGAATGTTCGAGAATGGAGCATCCTAAAACCTAGTTGTTTTTGCAGAATTCGTAAATCCATATGGAATCCGTTCCTCCTCTCAGACTCAGAATGATTCCGAGTCTTCTTCTGAAAGATTATCTCAGTTTGGCACCGCACGTGATTATCACGATTTTGATATGCAAAACGAACCGTATTGGTACAATGAAAAAGATGATGACTATTTCATGACTCCTAGTTTTGAAGGGCCCGATTTCTTTGCGTGTCAGAGTGAAGATAAGTTTGTCATGACAGCAGAAACGGAAAAGCAACGTGACAATTCTCTGCACCTTGGCTACAACCATGAAGAATTTCAACTAAAGGGGAATAGTAATGGTGATTACATGGACAAGACATGCCTCTATAATCATTCCTCTGTAGGAGATGGAACTGTGAATTATTCAAAAGGGTATTGCCATGTTGATAACGAGGACCGGTTTGAAGGGGAATTAGAGAGCAAGGCTGAGAAACGCACTGTTGCTTGTAGTTGTGAAGTTCCATTTTGCAAAAGCAGTCCTGGTTCGGGAGGTTCTTGCAGTTTGGATCCTACAAACTTCGGCTACCCTAACTTGAAGGAAATCCATCTGAACGATTTTCATTTGAAGGTTGTTGGGGACATTAACTCTTTTGATTCTACTTCAAAGCTAACTCTGAATCAAAGTTTTGACTGCTATACTAAAACCGATCACAATAAGAAGTACAAGGGTCCCTATGACTTAACTATCAAAGTTAAGGATAAAAATATACCAAATGGACATGACACCTATGAAGCACAAATTGGTGGAGAATTAGCTGAAGACTGCCAAGATCCAGAACTAGCTGCAGATGGAGAGGATACAACTGATGATGAGCTCTTGAAGTATACTCAAGAGGAAGAATACGAAGTATTTGATCTGAGAATTATACATAGAAAGAACAGGTTTTGAAAGTTGATCTTGTATCTTAAACTTTCATTTCTACCAAATCTTCCTGGTAATGCTTGTGAAATAGGTTGAATATGAATGTGTAGAAGACTAGGAATTAGTAGAATTTGAAACTAAATGCCACTTTGCTCTCTTTTACTTTTCTTAATGTATAACCTTCAACTTTTCTTTGTTGTTATTAACCGAGTGCATGATGATTTTGAATCAGTATTCATTTATAATGAAATTTGTATTGCACTTTTGCTCCTTATGTATTTAAATAATCTTAAGTTGTATTTAAGTATGATTTGGTATCGTCCATTACTGCATCTACAGGACTGGATTTGAAGAAAACAAGGAACTTCCCATTGTGCTAAATACAGTCTTGGCTGGAAGGTATTATGTAACAGAGTATCTTGGTTCAGCTGCCTTCAGTAGGGTTGTTCAGGCACATGATCTTCAGACAGGAATAGATGTTTGTTTGAAGATTATTAAAAATGACAAAGACTTTTTTGATCAAAGCTTAGATGAAATCAAGCTTCTGAAACTTGTCAATAAGCATGATCCAGCAGACAAACATCACATTTTGCGCCTTTATGACTATTTCTATCATCAGGTATGTCTTATACAGGTTAACTGATTTCGTCTGAGGTATAGAAATGTTTAATTCAAACTATATCCAAAATATTTGCAAAATTATACGTGCTTAACTGGGAAACTTTGGACTATAGAGCTAGAGATCCTTTTCATATAGCTTTCTGCATCTAATGGAATATTTCTTTCTATATCTTCTTCCATTCTAATCAGTCTTAACTTGCTTATACTGAATTAAATCTTCACAGGAGCATTTATTCATTGTAACTGAACTTCTTCGAGCAAACTTGTATGAATTTCAAAAATTCAACCAAGAATCTGGAGGGGAAGCATATTTTACACTAAAGAGATTGCAGGTTTGTTCAAATAGAGCAAAAATTTTTGTACTTCTTACACATGATTATTTATTCAGTTGCTATATTGCTGGAGTTTGTTGTCTTCAGCACCGTTGATCCTTCTTTGATGATCACCAATATATGTCTCCTATTAATATATTGCATATCTATTGTTGAGCAGTTAATTCAGCTATTTGAATCGAATTGCTTCTGTCAGAAACAGAGAAGTTGTCTAAATGATTAGGGTTGTTGTTATCTTTTTTTACAGTTCATTACTCGTCAGTGCTTGGAAGCATTGCAATACTTGCATAGCTTGGGAATTGTTCACTGTGACCTGAAGCCGGAAAACATTTTAATCAAAAGTTACAAAAGATGTGAAATAAAGGTTATTGATCTTGGAAGTAGTTGCTTCCAAACAGACAATCTGTGCCTATATGTACAGTCCAGATCCTATAGAGCTCCTGAAGTGATGTTAGGCCTTCAATATGATGAAAAGATTGATATATGGTCTCTTGGCTGCATCTTGGCAGAACTATGCTCTGGTGAAGTATGTTCTAATTGCCTTTTTCTCATATTAATGAAATGCATTTTTCTTTGGCTTTAACACGAGCAATGAATTTTGCTTTTCTTTCATATAGTTAAATCAGATTTCCAGTTTGTAAGATATTATAATTGAGGAATTGTTTACTCATCCTGAATTCTTGTGTCTTCTGCAGGTGTTGTTTCCTAATGATGCAGTTGTGATGATCCTGGCACGCATAATTGGAATGTTTGGTTCTATTGATATGGAAATGTTGGTGAAAGGACAAGAAACTCACAAGTACTTCACTAAAGAATATGATATTTATTATGTAAATGAGGTTTGTTTCCCCTTATCTTCCTCTTCATAGCTGTCTGTTCCTTTTCTATCAGATTTGTCGTTTTTATGAATCAAAGTCACATTTACTCAGTTACTTTAAGGAAAAAAAACAGAAAAATGTTCTCTTCTTGTTTCTAGAAGTGTATTAGCCTGATATGATTATGTTAACACGAGAATGAAGCTGATAGAACCCCAAAAAGGATTTCAATGCAACTACTGTATCATATGTTAAAAAAGAGAAACTGCTAGAGCTATTACTGCCAATGAAAGAGATAAACCAGACCTATGGCTCCTATCCAGAGAGATACATTCCTAACCACCTCAATACAATATTCATTCCATACCCCCTTATTCCCCTATTGGCCTATTAAAGCAAGCTGTAAAAAAGAATATGCTAACATAATTTCCCCTGCAATTGCAGTAACCGTGTGCCACCTCACTACCTAATTCTCTCTCTCTTCTGGAACCACTTTCTTCCTTCAAGGATATACTTTCCATGTGATGGGGTTCTTTGGAATTAGGTCCAACCTCTGATCCTTCTCTCGCTTATTATCATAATTGGGCTCGAGGGTCCTACCAGAAACACACTTTCATTTTCTTTATGACACAGATTAAATCTTAGACTCCTCTTCCCAAAATAATCTTATATTCTTAGTAAAAATTTCTTATCCTTGTCAATTTCAAATTTGCCGAGGTCAATCAGTCAAGCTCCACTATCTTTTTTCAGAATATATTAGCAAGGTAAAGTTGATGCGAAGCAAAACTCAGTATGTTTATTTTGAGTGAGGAAATAGATTAATTGAAAGGGGAGTATAGATATGTACTAGTTATGTGCGATAAAGTAAAACAAAATAAAAAGTTCCTTCATTCTTCAACATAATTAAATTTGAATTGTTAGACTGATAATACTAGAGCCACTTTTTTTTTATCCGTAGGAATTAGGCATTAAACAAGTATCAGGAAATTTACAACAATTCACACACCTTGATCAATCAACCGAGCCCCTTTAACCACTATGACTACTTTAATTGATCTCAAGCTAGAGAATAAAGAAGGTAAAAACGAAATAATGCTAAGATCTCACATCTCTGCCTATCCTCGTTTACACAAAAACAATACCTCAAATAACCTACAGCTACTAGCCTAATTGGGTGACAACCCTGTTAAATAATCTAATTTAAGAAAAAAATAAAAGAAAAAAAAAACAATAAAATGTTAAATATTACAACAAGTTAGCCCCATCTTCGAAGTTTGAACTACTAAATTTCAGGCCTGGAGTCCATCCTATCATGAATCCTTCTAAATTCCATTTCAGTTATTTCCTACTAATCTTTAATATTGTACACTCTTCACAGGAGACTGATCAACTGGAGTACTTAATTCCAGAAGAGTCAACGTTGGAGCAGCACCTACAGGTTACTGATACTATGTTCATCAACTTTCTCAGATACTTACTCTGCATCAACCCCAAAAGAAGGCCTACTGCCAGACAGGCACTAAAGCATCCATGGCTTTCCTTTGTTTACTAGTCTTTTCCTTCCTCTGGTGGAAATTTCAGTAATTCTATTGGAGCTATCAACATCATCCATTGTCTCTTCAGCTTATTTTCGGCATATAGCAAAGCTTGCAATCACAATTTTGGTTTGTTTATAAGCTATACCAAGTGTCACTGTCTTATGCTGTATATGTTTTTTGCCCGTTGATTTATGGTTTGTTCATTGTACAGAATTTCCCATTATTTTTTTGCCTTCCATGAATTGGAAGGTTATCAGAATAACATTTTCTTGTCACCTCATTTGGTTCTAACATAATGTCATATAGTACAGGGGTGTCATGAATTCACTGGATTTGGGATTAATTTAGTTTCTTTACAAAAACAATGGAACTTTCTCAGTGATCGATGCTGCTAATTCAGATGCCAGCCTTGGTAAAAATGTAAGTTTAAGCCACTAAGATGGGCTACTGGTGAGAGGCTCAGGTATTTTACTCCAGATAAGATATCCAAACCCTATTTCTGTGATTACACAAAAATTAATAATTCTCACACTTAAACGTGAATATTTTTTTATTTGATTTCTTTTTACACATGAATTTATTATTATTTACCACTTTTTTATATGTTTTTTAAAATCTAACTGTTAATTGTTTGTAAATTTAATTATATATTCGTTCTTTTCACTCAAATCTTAGATTTAATTACTTCTGATTTTTTTGTCTTTTATCTTAAATTCCAGTTATTAAAGCTCTTATTTTGAAATTTAAATAATTTATTATTTTTCTTAGGTGTTTTATTTGTGTTATTTCTCATAATTTAAAATGTTTTTTTTTTCAGATTTCCAAATTCACTTCAATTAATGTATACTTGTGTAATAGATTAGTTAGCAGTTAGGTTAAAATTTTAAATTTGTTGACCAACATTTATAACATACGAATTCAAACTAGACTTTACAAACAAAATATATATTAAAAATGCTTTTGAAATATGTCAATAGAATTTAAAAATAAAAATGAAATTAAACATTATTATAAATTTATAATTGTAACGAAAATGAAGGTTTGAAATAAATGAAAATAAATTCAAGTATCTTTAGCAATTAACCCCAGTAATGATTTTTACCATTTGTCTATTAGACAATTTATTCATTATTATTGTTATATAGAAACAAGGAGATTATCAGTATATTAAAGTCTTGATGTTTATGAATTTTCTTTATATGGTTTAAATTCATGATATGAGAACTTTTTTACCCAAATTATTTCATTACTAAATGCATTCAAAGAATAAATTAATCTAAAATTAAATTTTGATAAATTTATTGTCTTCAATAATTCTGTATAATTATATAAATCAACTTTAAAGATCATGTTGGGAGGATCAAGTCTGCCGAGTATTCAATAAAAATTTAAACTATTTTATATAAATACTTCCTTTATACATTTAATTTTAGATTATATATATATATATATATATATATATATATATATATATATTAAATGAATATTCACTATAAACACTCATGGTTAATAATGCACATCCCTAATCAGTATCGTTAGTTTCTTACTATCGTTAATTTTTATTCCTTTTTTATCATATCACTATATTAATATTTTTTTTATTTTCCTTTAAATATCTGAGTGTGATTTAGCATTTTAATTGTTTATGCTTTTTTTACAAAAATATTTCTTAATTATGTTGATTATCTTGACTATGTTTTTCCTTCTATTTCAATAACATAGTTTCACATACATAGTAAGTATGCTACCTAAAAAGGTGACATTCAAAAATCTATATATGATATTTCTTAACAAATGGTACCGTAAGTTAATTGTACACAATTAAATTATAAAATAAATTTTATCTTTAATTATATATTATAATTTAATTATATTTTTAATTTATGTAAATTTTTTATTTAAAGGATAACAACCTCTTGAATTTACTAATACAGGACCAAAAAGTTTACAACGTGAAAACACGATACTGCCTCCTCGAAAAATACTTTTAAATAAATTTTAATTTTGTTTTAATCTAACATGTAGAAACACATTGTTATATCATTTCTATAAGAGGAGACTATTTTTTATCTTTCTCCAATTATATCTACACAATTGTCTATTCTTATTATAGTTCTTATTTTTAGTTTTTACAATAATAAATTATTTTCAGTAAATTTTTTAATCTCATATTTTGTTGTTATGGTTTTAATCAATCTATGCACATTTTATTATAAATAGTATTATTTACTAAAATAACGAATTATATTGTAACTAGTACACTAGACAATTTTTAATAAAAAAGTGAGTCACAAATAAACACACTTAAATATCAAGTATTTCATTATTAAAATTTTTCTAAACATGCACTATTATAACGATTATCTAAGATAGAGAAATAATATAACATATTAAGAATTTTCTCAAACATTATTTTAATGACTATACTAGCAAAATAATATTTCAACTAATAACTAGCTTTGATATTACTATTATGAATCAAAATAATAATATAAAAACAAATAATAAATAATAATAAAATTTTATTGTAAAAAATAAATCACAGTATATTTTTTAAGTCTAAAGAGAAAATAATAATATTTTTTCTAAAAAATAAAAGAACATAATTATTATCTAATACAAAAAAAAAAGAAAATTTTGTATTGAATGATTTATAAAATAAACATTATACTATTTTATAATAGAAAAAATAAACCTCAAAATATATTTTTTTAATATTAAATTTATCTTTTCATATTCTCCAATAAATTATAATAATTATTTTTTAAAATTATAATATTCTTATTTTTCATATTTTCCCCTCGAATTATACAAAAGTGGTTACAAAAAATCTCTAACTATGGAGATTATAAGGTGATATTTTCGGTACAAATAAATTTGATGACATATCCACCATTTTAATGATTTTGAAGGAGCACATTATAAATGGAGTACCTTTCACGGCATCACTGCTTCAACTCTCAGCCAATTACCAAACAGCGTTGACTACTCATGGAACTCACGACACACACTTCACTTTATAAAAGCCCACAGCTAAATAATAATTGTTTTCTCTTTTCTTTTTTTTTTAACGAATTTAAATAGTTAATTAAGCATACATTTTATTATTATTATCGCTCATATTAAGAATTTTGAAAATATAAATATTTATCATATCTAAATTTAGAAAACTGTAAATTTGTTATAAATGTTTATTTTAAAGTATTGAAAATTACTATGTACAAAATTAAATATTTATTTATAAATATAAATATAATTCTAGTGATTTACGTCTTTGATGAATATAGAATTGAAAATCACGTGTCCATGACTGAATTAACATATAGAGTACATAGTTAGGCATGGTAACGGCAGGACGAGTTTTGCCTGTAGGATTCATTACATTTTTTTTGAAGCATGCTTGTTTCCGTTCCTATTTTTGTCAATGTTAGAAATTAACTTTTCATCTTTTTTCACTAGATTTTGAGATCTTTGGTCCCGTTTTCCTCGCGTAGGATCTATATTATTTTTAAAAAATAAATATATTTATAATAAATTAATTTTATTATATATTTTTTATATATAAATAAATATTTATAATTTATAATAATTATTATTAATTAAATATAAATTTTATTTTATTATATTTATATTAAAAATATATATATAAAAGAAATATTTAATTATTTTTATTTATATATATATATATATATAAAATATTTATAATAATAATATTATTATTATAACACTGTATTTAAATATTTGAATATTTACAATATTATTATAATATTGTATTTAAACATTTGATTATATATATATATATATATATATATATATATATATATATATATAAAAGTTAATTCATTTTTAAGTTATCATTTAAAAATATAAAATATATAGTTTATATGGAAATATTTAATAAATTAATTCTTATTTAATTAGTTTGAAGTAATAAAAGTTTAAATTTCCAATTCCTTTTAATTCTTTAAAATATAATTATTTTTATTAAGATAAAATTTGATATATGATAAATAAGAATAATAAGATAAAAAAATCCGACATAATAAAACCTAATACATATAAATTATAAATAAAATAATATTAGTTATTATTAAGATTTATGTAAAATATTTAGAAAAAGATAAAGAAAAAAATTAATTTTGTGTTTATCAAATTGGTTGAAAAGATTAAAAAAAAATGACAAGAGAGGTTAAGAAAATATGAAAAACTGAAAGGTGAGAGAGAATAATGTAATAAATTAATTGATATAAAAAATTAAAAAAGACAAAAAAAGTAAAAAATAGGTAGAAGAAAAATAAAAATAGGTGAAATATAAAAAAATGATCTTATATATAATAAAAAAAATAAAATACTTTTAGAATATTAATATTTTAAAATTTAAATTTAAATATAAAGTCATAGGATCAAAATTGCATTATTCATCCCTACCTCATATCAACTCGAAGTTTTTCTGACCATCTCACGTATTCAAATTTAATTGTCATTCTTTAATCATAAATTTTTTTTATTCAATCATCCCACGTATTCAAATTTAATTGTCATTCTTTAATCATAAATTTTTTTTATTCAAATATTATTATTATTATTATTATTATTATTATTATTATTAATATTATTATTTAAAAGAACCATTTTAAACGCTTGTAAGTTTCTATAATAACAACAACATTGAAATGACAATATATAATATTCAATTTTCATATAGTGGGGTTATTGTTTATTAGGGTATGATCGTGAAATATTATGCATTTTGTCCCACCTGACACTCCTAGCACCTGTGCTATGCTTCAAACGTACTTTATCGATTTATTTGAAAAATAATATCTCAACTCAATATTATTTTTAAATATAATTGAATTTAAGAAAGTCAAAGTAAAACCGGTCGGAGATACTTATTACGAGATAATGGGAGAAGTATATAGTAGATACTTTGGTTGCGTGTCCAAATATTTAAGAAGATTTCAAAAATGTTATTTTTAATATTTTTAATCACTGTTGATGAATTGATTGCTCTTTCATTTTATATATACCGTATAAATTATAGACTACGACGGGTTGAGTAAGAATTTCCATAAATATCTTAAAGAAAAATATAAAATATTTTTAATAAATCAAAATTAATATACAATTTTAAAATAAGAAAAAAGAGTTTAATTGCTCCTTTTTCACCAATTCAAAAATAACAATTTTATCAACACTTGAAAATCATAAAGAAAAACTTGCATTGATTGGGTTAAATTATTTTCTAAGACTATGAGTTTTTGAGATCCTGACTCAAGTCAGAGTCCATCTAAATTATTTTAATATGAAATTATAATAATACGATAATAATTTAAAAAAAGAAAAGACAGAGTCTTTAAAGAGTGAAACATTGTCTTTTGTTATTGGCGCATTCGTTATCCCCGTAGCTTCCTATTATTTATTATCATTTGTTACCTCTTCTGTTCATGCTAATCATCAAATCCTCTTCTTCACGCTCCCTCACACGCGTTTCCAACACAGCCTCAATCATTATTCCTTATCGTCACCCGCTGCGTTCCCTTCTCTGCATTTTTCATCTCATTTTTTCCAATTTTTAACTTATTTTAATTATATATAAATAAATGAAATTTTATTTTTATTGATTTAAAATTTAATTTATTTATTCCTTAGAATTAATCCTATGGTGATGCATGATTTAACTATCTGAATACATAAACCATCATTGATGAGTCCACGTATATCGTGTCTTGTCTTGCATTGAGATTTTAACTTGAAAAGTAAAAATATGTTAGTAACTATCATCAAGAATTTCTCATCATTTGATATATTATTATTATTACTAGATTAAATATGTTGTGGTCCTTGTATTTTTTATAATTTAATTTTAGTTATTATATTTAAGAATGGACTAATTAGTAAAAATAAGTAAGTTTAGTCTTTTTATTAATTTTATTTTAATAAAAATGTTATTAAAGATTTAATTTAGATATATAATCAAATAAAAATTATAATTAATGATTTTATCAATTCTATATTAAATTTAAAACTCATCATATTCAATTTAAGTATAAAAAATTTAAAAAAAATATAATTTATAAATTGAAAGATTAATTAATATTTTTTAAATATACAAACTAAAATCATGTTTAACAAAAAAAAGATATTTAACCTTTATTATTAATATGGTTATTTTGAAATTATAAAATAATATTTATCATTGTAAATATTATTATTATATTTAATTTGAAGTTTTAAAATTTTTTATTTTAATATTTAACATTTGATATTTTATATTAGTCTTTAACTCAGCAATGTTAGTAAAAATATAATTTTCATCAAATTTATATCAACACTATTAATATTTTATTTTAAATTAATTGTTTTACTATAACAGCCATTATAAACAGAACCAATAATTTAATTATTAAAACCATTATTAATTTAAACATAATGACCATTAAAAACATGGCAAAAAAACATCATACAATTTTAATTTCTAAAATAATATGATTATATAATTTTAGTCGATAACATATCTTGATTATGCAATTTTTGGTTCTTACTACCGTATACATTTTGGGCCATTACACAATTTGCTACTTCGGTACATGGATGCTATATCAATACTAATACGTTACGTCATAATTTTTATTAAAAATTAACAAAAAACTACAAATAGATTAAATTATCGAAATTTAAAATTATAAAAAATTAGGCGATATTATTATTTTTTTGAAGAGATTAAAATTACATGGTTGAAAATGATGATTTTAACGTGAGCCAATCAATAACCAACTAACGGAGAAGCAAATATCCAAAAATTATTAAATAAATAGACGAAAGCTAGAAGGCATTTGTGACTAACGCGCCACCAAGGCACTATGCTTTGGGCTTCCCCCTCCCTTCCTCTTTTGTATCGTTCCCTCGCTCTCTCACTCTAGACCTCGTCGAAGCACCACCATGACCACATATCGCTGAAAATCACACGCAAAAAAGAGAGAGAATATCTGAAGAAAAGCCCGTACGAAGCACGGCACTGTCGCGATTCAAAGCAGAAGAAGCGATTAATAAATTCTTTGGGTTTGGTTGGGTTAGGGTTTTATCTATCTATTGGTTTGGATATGGGCGAGTTGACTCAGGCGGAGGTGTACTCGCCGAGGACTCAGCAAGTCTGGAGAGCACTGTTGAGTTGGTTGGCCTTCTTCTTTCAGATCTTCTTTCAGATTATAAGAGCCTTAGGTCACTACCCTCTACTCTCTTTCTCTTCTTCTTCCTCTTCCGCCTCTTCATCTTCCACTTCCTTCAAGCCTCTTCCCTCTGTTGAGCTTGTCGAGCACGATTCCCCTCCTCCCTCCGCTCTTGAAATCACAGCCGTCGATTATTCACCCGCCGATCGTCCCATCCAAAAACTCACGGTATTACTATTCCTATTATTTTATTGGTTCTTTTTTTCTTTTGCTGTTTTTGGGTTTGGTGATAGTTAACGGAAGTGAAAACAAAGGTGTTGGAGGAATAAACGATTAATCCCTCTCGTGTTGAATATCTATAACTGCTGGAGTTGTGGTTTTGTTGTTATGGGTTTTGAAAAAACAAACTGTTTCTGATTTTGACTCTTATCTGAGTAGGGTTTGAGGAGGATGCTGAAATATATTGTATGTAAGGAGGTGAACTGGAATACTTGTGGTCCAGAAACATCACTGAGCGTGTGTGAATCTGTGTTTTGGGGATGAAGATAACTTGCTTTGTCTTTTGTTTGTACTTCAAACTTCAGTTCTCCCTGCAGCTTCGTTTGCTTGTTGTCTTCTTGCTTATGTACTTTTTTTTTTCAATTTTATTTTAGTTTGTTTTGTGTTTGAATTTTGCTTAAACGTGGATAGATAGATAGATAGATATTCTGGTTTTGGTCTTTCACGGACATGCATATTGTGAAGTTTATTTGATGGTCTTGTTAACTCGCTCAAAGTGGAAAGTGATTGCCTTCAAGGCTCTCGAAGGGTTTTGGGAACATTTGGTACATGATTGTAGAAGCAAGTGCTCTGGGTTTGGTTTTGTGTAGCTTCTCTCACTGAGTTGTTTATAGTTTTAACTTCCACATCTTTTAATTTATGCTTGCAAATGGGGAAATTTGGCATCCAACTGATGCTACTATGTACTGCGGTTGAAGTCAGAGAGTGCATGTCAAACATAAGGTGCATGGTATAAGGTGTATTCTTTTGATGAGCTGTTAGAAGAATACTAATGGATGTCATTCTCTATGTTGTTTTCTTCTGATATTTCCTCTTCTCCTCAAATCTTGTTACTATTTTATTACTAATTTACTGTTGCTAATGTAGATTTGATCTTACATGTGTACTTGCAGGTGGTGCTGGACTTAGATGAAACACTGGTATGTGCATACGAGACATCAAGTTTACCAGCTGCTCTAAGGACTCAAGCAATCGAAGGTGGTTTGAATTGGTTTGAGCTGGAATGTGTATCGATAGACAAGGTAAGTTACTTTGTAGTTTGCATCTGATTGTTTGGCCATACCTAGAATATTGTATCATCACTCGGGCGTGTTGGATTTTCAAGGAAGGAGAGAGCAAACCAAAAATCAATTATGTCACAGTATTTGAACGCCCTGGGTTGAAGGAATTCTTAAAGAAACTGAGTGAGTTTGCTGACTTGGTGCTGTTTACTGCTGGTCTTGAAGGTCTGTCTCAAAATACTTAGCTGCTACAATTTGTGCATATTCATCTTTTGGAAATTATGTTCAACATTTCTGAATGGCTTATGTCGCTAAATTCTCACAGGCTATGCTAGACCCCTTGTTGACAGAATAGACGTGGAAAATCGATTCAGTCTGCGACTGTATCGGCCCTCAACAATTAGCACGTGAGTGCATCTGTCTTGTTTACAATCCAGTATTCTGTTTTTATGTAATTAATCTTTTTCTATTTTAATTGCTGGTGGGCAGTCAACTTCATGTGAGTTAACATTATAATCTATTCAATCTTTAGTTAGGTTCTTTATTCCTTGTTTTATGGTACCAGCCTATGGTTTCATTTTTCTTATCCGGGTCTTCTCTTTAAGTTTGAGGTCTGTCATTAAAGCTTGACAAAACTGATAAAATAAACACATGCACTTATATTTAATGGAAATTTGTTGAATTCATATAATGTTAATGCTTGGTTCTATTGGACCGAAATGAGCCTTTTCCAAATTTGACTGCAATTTGCTGTGTAGCTAAATGTACAATAGTTTTGTGCTGTTATAGAAGGACCGTGCAGCAATTATTCTCTTTACTTATTTCTTAATTTTGGTTTTCAACTATATGTTTATGCTATTTTTCTATCATCTGTATGTGTGCTACACACAGATATGCATTTGTTTGTGATCTTCAAATTCAATAATTAGAGTGTGTACAAGGCTTGAAGAATGATATATCTCGTGGTCATTTTTGTTTGTTATTCAGAGAGTGGTCGCCTTAGCCTTTTCCCCCAAAAAACACTTGGGTGGCTTTTGTAATATCTTTTTGAAGTTCTGACGGATTATTTGCTTTGGACTTTCTTGCTAAATGTCTTGATTATTCTGTTGACTTTACACAACTTAGAGATGAATATGGATGAGATGGGCGAAAATGTTTAGAGCCAGTTTGGAAATTTTTTGAATAAGCACATATAAAGAATACAATTAAATAAATCAAGTAGGTTAAATGATCAAACCTCTTATGTTAAAAATCAATTGACGCACCTTAACATATTTTTAGAAGAAATTTAACAAGTTTCTTCATAAATTGAAGTGCACACTTGATTTAACTTAAGCAAGAAATGTGATCATTTTATTCTTTTCACTAAGTGTGTGTTGAGATGTCTATCCAATTGGCTTTTAGTTGGTCTATGTTTTCAATTTTGATAGTGGGAGTTGTTACCACAAGTAGAACTCTCCCAAATTCCCCTCTATCTTAACCCCCTGATTAATGCATGGGATTAAATTTCTCCGCTCTTCCACTTCTCTCAGTTCTTCACTCTGTTCTGCATAGTAAAGAGGTCAGTTGAATTTTGGATTTGCATTTGTTATTGGGGTCAAAATAAATTTTCAACTATTCAAGTAATGCTAAAAAATCATGAGCTATATTTTTCAATAACACGACACTGGTTTGTTTTTATTGTTGATATTACAATTTAATTGTTTATTATTTTACACTATTTTCAGCCTGTGTGGAGTTTCTTTGTAGTTTTTTAACAATGTGTTATTAAATAATCAGAATCATTTCTGGAATTTTAAACTTATCCGAGTTATTTCGGGGCTATATCTTCGAGTTTGAAGCTCAGAGTCTGCTGGTTGGCTTGCAGGGAATATCGGGAACATGTCAAAGATCTCAGCTGCATCTCAAAGGATCTTTGCCGCATTGTAATTGTAGACAATAATCCTTTCAGCTTTGTACTGCAACCAGTGAATGGAATTCCGTGCATTCCTTTTTCCGCTGGGCAACCACATGACACCCAGGTGAAAGATATGTGCTATCGAAAATTAAAGCTACCAATGCTGAAGTAAAAAAAATAAAATCACTCATAACATTCTTACGAGTTTCTCACGATTTTCCGCGTTTTGATGTGTAACAGCTTCTAGATGTCATTCTTCCACTTCTCAAGCAACTTTCTGAGCAGAATGACGTAAGACCTTTGCTCTATGAAAAGTTCCACATGCCTGATTGGTTCCAGAAACAAGGGATTCCTGCTTCTTGTTGGACTTTGTAGGATTAACCAGTTTGCCATTATGCTCCATGTTTTTCTTTGGTGAAATTCTCAGTTATTTTGCTGGAAGGGCAGCTGCTGATTGGTTGAAATAGATTTTTTGTATAGCATCAATTTGTTTGCTCATCACCCAAAGGTTTCAAATGCTGCTTCTTGAAGTCAGATCAATTCACCCCTTGTGTATGCAGATATTACCAGAATTCTGATTCTTGTTTATAGGTTTGCAGTCTGTTGGGAAGTATCACGTTAGTCCATTGTATAATTATTATCAATAATTTATCAGATTAAACATTCATTACGTTGCAAAGTTTGTTATGACCAGTGTTGGTCAATTGCTCTAATAACATGTACAAGAAGACCTTCTTTAGTTAGGTTACTATAAAATTTTACAACTGATTGATACGGTCTTTGTCGTTAGCATAATTTATGTAATTTGTTGAGAAATTTAAGGCCTTCTACTAGTATGCTTGATAACTCAGTTTAACATTATTAGGATGCATATAAAGTCAATATACTATACACTGACAAGCATGGGATTTTATTATCTCTTGGTCGAGTTGGGAGAAAATTTGTTGGTGTTAGGTCGGTATGATTGGCCTGAGTGAAACCAATTTTAATTTCGCCTCTTTATTGCGTGCTAACCTGGAACTGTTGTCTGTTTTTCCTTTTGAATAGTATGGATCCACCTTCTCACTAGGTAGTTGGCAGTAATAGTATGAAGTTGTGTTCTACCACTAGATGTAATAAAATAAAATATATGGGAGTAAAGTAAATTTATCATTTCACTACATAAATATACGATGGAACGAAAAAACTTTATCCATATTTCCAAGAAGTTAAAAAAGTTGGTCTTTGGGATAGAATAAGGAAAAACATTAAAATTCATTTTTTTAACGCACTTTATATTATTAATTAAAATTTATTAAAAAATTATAATGATAGGTGGAATTGAATTTACAAACTAATAAATACGGTTTTTCCAATAATGTGTTTGAAATGTTAACATTTTTTTAATATGGCATCTTATGTGTCATTTCATACACTCTTAAATAATTTAAACCAAAAGAATTAGAATAGTTTGATTTCACTCTCACTTTATTAGGTGATACTATTTGTCTGAAAATGTCCAAGAAAAAAATGAGAAGCAACGAGGACAATTAAATCCCGTGCTAGTAAGGATTGATCCATTGCCATTTTGAGTTTGATGGAGAAAATCCGAGTTAATCGAGAGTGGGAGCGAGTTTAGATTTTCCTCGCTTTAAAAAGTCGGGGGTAGGGGCAGAGGTGGGGATGAGTAATGCAATTCCCACCCCGACCTTGTCCCTGCCCCGACTTTATATTTAAATTTAAAATATTAATATTTTAAAAGTATTTCCTTTTCTGTTTCTATTACATATAAGGTCATTTTTTTATATTTTACCATTTTTATCTTTCTTCTACCCACTTTTTAATTTTTTTTATCTTTTTTAATTTTTTATATTAATTAATTTATTACATTATTCTCTCTTACCTTTCTGTTTTTCATATTTTCTTAATCTCTCCTATCAATTTGTTTTTTTTTTAATCTTTTCAACCAATTTGATGAACACAAAGTTAATTTTTTTTTCTTTATCTTTTTCTAAATATTTTACATAAATCTTAGTAATAACTAATATTATTTTATTTATAATTTATATTTATTAGGTTTTATTATGTCATAATTTTTTTATCTTATTATTCTTATTTATCATATATCAAAATTTATCTAAATAAAATAATTATATTTTAAAATATTAAAAGGAATTGATAATTTAAAATTTTATTATTTCAAACTAATTAAATAAAAGTTAACTTATTAAATATTTTTTTATATTATATATTTCATATTTTTAAATGACAACTTAAAAATGAATTAACTTATATATGTAATCAAATGTTTAAATACAATATTATAATAATAATAATAATAATATTATAAGTATTCAAATATTTGAATATAGTGTTATAATAATAATAATAATGTTATAAATATTTTACATATATATAAATAAAAAATAAAAAATATTTCTTTTTATATACATATTTTAATATAAATATAATAAATTAAAAAATATATATTTAATTAATAATAATTATAAAATTATAAATATTTATTTATATATAAAAAATACATAGTAAAATTAATTTATTATAAAAATAAATATCTTTTTAAAAATAATATAAATCGTGAGACAAGACGGAGTGAGGAACCCAAACTCAGCGAGAACGAAGATGGAAACTTGATTTCTTATCCCAATGAGGACGAGAGACAAAAACATAATAGTGGGAACGAGTGGTAAAACCCGTCCCCGCCACCGCCCGCTGCCATGCCGGCCGGCAAGGCAGCCCAAGTGAGTGAGAGAGAATGGTGATTAAGAAATAGGAATTATTTGATGATTGAACGGAGTCCAACATCATGGTAGGTATTTAGGTTGTCAAAAATAATAAAATAAAAAACAAATATTTGCAACCTGTCCTTAAATCTCTATCCAGCGTTCCTCAAAACCTTGACAAAAAGGAGTTGGAACTTAAAGAATCCCTTTTCATCTCAATCTCATACTTTCTCTCTGCTTCTCTTTTCTTCTGCTTTTCTACTTTTTATACCCTTTATTCATTCTCAGACATTATTTTAGTTCCCTTCTCTAAATGTCTCCTTTTCACTTCATCACAAATAAAAACTTCCACTCAAACCTATTCTCATCACAGTTGCCAATTGGTGATATCAATGGGCCATGCTACATTTTTTGCTGTAATTGTTTTATGCATTGAATTCAAAGCCATATCAAAATATGGTCTCTTCATCACAAGGATGAGTCACTACCAGTGCACAACCTCATGTGTATTTTAGTTCGCTCCTTCGTAAAAGGGCATTTTTTTTTTTACTTTTTAATTTCCTATTTTTAATGCAACACTTCCATTTTTGGATTTGTCGGAAGTTTTTTTAAATAAGATTTTAAAAAAACTAATATACCAAAAGTAATTGTTAAAAATAAATTAAAAAAAGCAAAAGCTTTTGTTGTAGATAATGTAAAAGTGCACTGAAAACCCATTAAAAAAAGCGTTTTTTTTTATGCATTTCAATAAAAAAATGATATTTTTATAGCACTAACGAGTATTTATCTTTAAATAGTTATGTCAAAAACATAGTCAAATATTAAAATATGTACACATAATATCACTGTATGATATAAAATTAATCTCTTCCATTGTACTTAACCTTTGTTGATTATGCAAAAGTTTTCATTAAAAGCAGCACACGTAAAAACTGAAAGGAGAAGAAGACACGGTGTTATAAAATTGATTGAGCCCGCGTGGTCTATGCATATCGATTGCAGAATGCAGACATGATTTACTAAAAAGAATAGACAAAGGAAAAATTTTATACTAACTATACGTGACTTACAAATTAATATATTTGATTACGATGAAGATTTGACTGTAAAGTATAAAAGTGTCAAGGATGTTTGTGTTCCTACGGTATTTAACTATGTTTTATTGGTGAAAAACATATGGTTTATATTTAATTCGCATTCCCATTGTACCAAGCTTTTGCAGCAGCCATGATTACATTTACAACACATTATGTCGTTTTATAGTGTTGCTTTTTCACTGGTTTTTTTCTGACCATAATCTTTGGTTTCCGAAGAATTGTATATGACTCGTGCTACGTATTAATGGTTAGTGTTTTCTCTTTCTTTATTGTTTTATAGAGCAAATAATGGTCAAAAGAAACCTACTTTGTTGTTTTCTATCACCTTTAAAGTTTGAAACTGAGGCCCCAACATTTTGTTCGTACATCTTCGAATCTAGATAGAATATTGCTAGAAAGGATTTGGTGGGTTAATTATGATGAGAACTATATAAATATTGAAGCTCATTTGCTCAGTTTTTTATATAGTCTCTAATACTTACAATATATACACAAATCATATTTATAAGATAATATATAATTTTGTACTGTAATAAAGTTGGTATTTAAACAAACCTTCATTATAGGTTTATTATGTAATTGAATTAAGTCAGATTTAATTGAACTTAAAATTTATAAACTCATATTATAATCAGATATACTAATAGATGTTGCACTCCCTAATCGACATTTAGAGTAATACTAGTAATCTTGTTGGCTATAAAACATTGGAGACCAATCATGACTTGAAGAATTAGAGTTAAAACAAAACAATAACCCAAAACTAATTTTCTCATCATCACACTCATTCATTTTATGACTCATTTAATAAGATTGCTGTTAATTATTGACCCTACTAATTTTTAGGTAAACTAAACAAATTTCAACTCCAAATATTAACCTTAGTGAGATACCAGGTGTTAATGGGAAATCGATAAAGGGATCGAAAAAATGAAGGAAAGGAAAAATCGAAGACCATACGATTGGTAAAAGACATCGAGAACGTATTTTCGATGAAATTGGTAAAAGCTGGTAACCACGAAGATAAAAGTACATCGAGAATCAAAATCGAGAATCGAAGAAACAAATTTCGATGCCTATTTTTGAAGTTAGAATAGTACAAAATTATAGGGAATCAAAAGCAAAATTTAAAATACTCGATGTCTGAAATCGAGATCAAGGGAGCGGTTAACACACACAGGGAACGTGGGAAACAGTTTCTAAACCGCAACAGAGATCGAAGGAGGAGCAATTCTCTTATACGTAAGAACGTGGAGTGCAGTTTCTAAAACTGTAAAACTAAAGGAACAGACACGTAGGATCGTGGGGATAGTGGTATTAACCACTCTTGGGAGGTTACTTCAAAGATGCTCTATAAATAGAGCGAAGACTGAAAAGAGGGAGGAAATTGGCAGAGACAACAGAAGCTTTAGTGAAAAGTCTACCGGAGAACGACGAAATCATGAAGTTTCTGGCTATCTGGATTTCCATTTTCATTGACTGCCTTTATTGCTTTCTTTATTTTTCCTGGTAATTTATGTTCACGCAATTTACTTTGATGCAGTTTATGTTCAAAAACTTTAAGTTTATGTACTTTCGATTCCTTGTTATTTTTATGTAAGTTAAGATTATGCATTTAAGTTCCTCGCTATTTACACTTTATGCAATCTCGATTTCCTGTCATTTACACTTTATGCAATCTCGATTTCCTGTCGTTTACATTTCCGCAATCTCGATTTCCTGCTATTTACCTTTCCACTATTTTGATTATTTGTCATTTATACTTAATGCAATTTTGAGGTTTCCGCATTTTACATTTCCTCGCAATTTAATATTCTGTACTGCTTTTTGATTCGACACTTTACTGCCTTCTTTACTTCGAGTATTTTTACAAAATACCAAAAATAGTGCTTTCGATTGTCATTCCGCGCACTAGGTTACATCAGGATTTGTGATACTATAGGATTTTCGATTCTCATACAATATTTTGATTGAAAAACCATTTGCTAGCCTAAGTGAAAAGAATCTACGTGGTTGGGTTTTGATTAGAATCAAAGCCCCTTAAGAATCGAAGTTAATCAAAATTCCACCGAAACACCAGATAATATTTTGGTTCTTTATGTTTTAGGAAATATGTTTTATATATACAAAAATATATTTTGATTAATCTAATGATTT